CACACTTACACGCACACCCTGTAATACTCCTTGCACTTTGCAAAAGTGCCACTGTTTAGGTTTAATGATATATAATATGCCCATACAATAACTTGTTTTGGAAAAATAGACGACGGGATACATTTCTTCCAATTTAATTAACGTAATCGACAATTTCTACTAACGTGCTGCGGTAAATAATGTTCGTGATCTTATACATTTATAAGTTTCATCTCTTTTAGCTCTGTTAATGCGGGGTTTTTTTCTCTAATGAAAATGGTAGTCTACCTTTGCATGTAAGTGATAGTATTTTAGAGCTTAACTGGCTGTCACGGTGTATCTCCTGGAGATTCAAGGGGAAGAAAAGGAAAAGACAGGCCAGCTATCGAAACTACTTTACTATTAAGTCACTTGTACCTTTGGTTGAAAGGAAAGCAGTATTCTATGCGCTTTCACTGAGCCTTTATTGTGAAATATTATAGTTATATTATTTGTGAAGGTTCTTCACTTTGGCTGCGTAAAACTTTCGAACCACTTAAATTTCGAATTTGAAAAAAAATTAACGGTTGTTCAGAATCATTTACTGGGTGCACAGTTAAGTTATACATGTATTAAGGAGTCTGAAGTGACTGTTGTTTAATTTTCAGTTTTTCATTATTTTTGTTTAGATCTAAACTTGGGAAAGTCCGTCTTCTAAGATTGTAAACGTGTGAGGCTTCCGTTCAGAAACAACAGTGCGCACTGGATTCACAATGACTTGACGATCGATTCTTTTGAGTCCGTTCATCGAACGGGTACCCAGCTAGTACCGTATTTAATAGACAGAAACTTGAATGGCCACAACAACAGCCAGCTGTTCAGGTGTACCAAGCCCAGAACTGTGGATTTGGTTTGGTTTGGTTTTGTTTTTTTCAGTTTGTTTATAACCTATGGTATTGGCTATTTGTCTTTGAGAAATATTTTGTCATAATTCAAATCCTGCATGCTGAAAAATAGCAAGTACCGACAATACATTATTTTGGTACAATTTTATGAGGAAGGAAAAAGTATTTGTTTAAACTCTCTTCCCTTAAAACTTTTGTTGTGTGGGCTTAGAACGGTTAAGCAGATTATCGACGATAAGAAGAAACCAAAACTGTTCGTCACAGGGCAAAGTACAGTGTCTTTGAAGCAATTGTTTTATTTCAGCTGTGGACAAAACATGCTGACAATAAATAATGTCTTCGTTGTTGTTATCTTCATCGTCCTTGCAGCTCTTTATGTAGACGAAATTTGATATCACTTAATTTACACCAGTCTTCAAGTATTATGCAATAGAAGAAGAAGAAGAAGAAGAAGAAGAAGAAGAAGAAGAAGAAGAAGAAGAAG